ATTCGCAATTATCTCGCGTTCTCGCGGAACGGATTCGGCGATTCGTTTGGCGCGTTTATTGCGCGCCCGAACATAAATTGGTCCTTCGAGCCGGATCGAGATATTCAGTGCAGCCCTTCAGCCGTTAACATGACTGCCGTGCCGGAAGTCTCAGCCACCATCAACGACCTCCTGGCTCAACAGCAGGTGTTGATACACTCCATCACTCGAGCGCTCGATAATTTCAAAAAACTCGGAAGGAATAACTATACCGCTGCAAAGGTCCGAGCGCGAATCGCTAGCTCCAAAGAAGTCTGGACGCAATGCCTTCGCGTGCACTCGGCCCTCTTGCAAGTTATTCCGGAGGCGAAAAGGAGCACGTACGAGTACTTTCAAAACGAACTGTTCGATCAGGCCAAGGACATCCACTTGACGACGTTGGATTACATGGCCGAGTGTCTGGAGGCACTCGCGCCGACGCCGCCGCCCCTGACAGCAAACCAAGCTTCGGGCGCCGCGTGCGGTCATGGGCCGCTTGCCTCCTCATTCTCACTGGCGCATCTGCCGCCCATCAACATTCCGCCATTCTCAGGGAAATATGAAGATTGGGAGACGTTCCGCGATCGCTTTACGTCCCTTATTATTAAAAATCCCGACCTTTCTGCATTTGCGCGAATGCATTTTCTCTCATCAAGCCTCGCCGGGCGGGCTCTTGAATCTATTCGAAGCATCCCAGTAACCGCGGATAACTTTGAACTTGCGTGGAAGGCCCTCGAGTCGAGGTACGAAAATAAACGCCGATTAGTCGAGATGCATGTGTCCGCGTTATATAATCTGCCGAGCGTTTCCCGCGAATCAGCGAGCGAACTCAGCGAGCTTCGGGATAAAGCAAATCGCGCAATTACGTCGCTGAAAAATTTAGATCGATCCGAATCCGACATTCTTAGCGACATGCTTATGTATAGCGTCACGCAAAGGCTTGATGCCGCCACTCGGAAAGCGTGGAAACTAAAGGGTGGGGATGACGCGCAAATCCCAACATTCAGCGAACTCGATCGATTCCTCGATTCTCGTGCTCGCGCGCTCGAAGAATTGCATCCCGCGAATGTAGACAAACAAGCTCGCGCGCAGAAAGCGACCAGCGCTACGGCATCGGGAGCTTCTTCCATTTTGTGTCCGCTTTGTAAAGCATTTCACTTTCTACACAAATGTCAAGTCTTTCTGAAGAAGAATCCGAGTCAACGATTGGAAGCAGTAAAAAAGGCAAATCGCTGTGTAAATTGCCTAAGCGACAAACACGCCGTACAGTTATGTCAAAGCAAATATTCGTGCGGAACATGTCGCAAAAGGCATCATTCGATGTTGCACGTCGACTCGGACACTTCTACCACGAAAGATACTTCTACCGCGAAAGATACGCTTGCCGCGGAAAATACTTCTGTCGCGACCGCATCGATCCACGATGCCGCGCCCATCACGACATTATTCTCGAGCGCGAAAGTGTCGTCGATGCCTCCCGTGTTGCTCGCGACGGCGAGGGTAAGAGTCGGGTTCCCCTCCAAATCTCCGAACGGTCGTACTCGCGTCGTTCGAGCGCTTCTCGATCAAGGATCAGAGATGACCTTTATTACCGAACGATTGAGGCAAGGCTTAAGACTGCGTCGCGTTAGAATGCCCGTCTCAATCTCCGCTATCGGAGGCGTCGACGCCGGAACATGTCGATACGCGGCCGAAATTCAGATCTCGCCGATCGGCCAAACTTCTCTCGCGTTCAAGACCACTGCGTCCGTCATGACAAGCTTAACGAAATACACTCTGTCGCCCGTAACGTCGCCCGTCCAATGGAGCCATGTAGCCGATCTCGCGCTCGCGGATCCGGATCCTACGAACTCGGACCTCATTGACATACTCATCGGTGCCGACCTGTACGGCGATTTGCTGCTCGACGGCATTCGAAAGGGCTCCCGCGGTCAACTCCTCGCGCAGAATACCGTTCTCGGTTGGGTGCTGTCCGGCCCCGCGGCTGACCCACAAGCTCGTCCTCGAACAGTCACGGCTCAGCACTGTTCTAATACCCCGTCTCTCGACGAGGAACTCCGACGCTTCTGGGAAATCGAAGAAATCCCTCGCGCCATTCCACTGAGTCCGGAAGAGCAACAGTGCGAAGATCACTTCCTCGCCACTCATTGGCGCCGCTCCGACGGACGATACGTGATTCGCTTTCCGTTCAAAACCGGCCCCCCAATCGAGATCGGTAATTCTTATCACTCAGCCGAGCGACAGTTGAAAGGTCTTGAACGCAGATTAAACGCCGATGAGAGAGTAGCGACGGAATACCGCGCCTTTATGGAGGAGTACGAGCGACTCGGCATATGAAGCGTGTACCGCACGACGCAGACACGTCATCTCAATACGTTTACATTCCGCATCACCCCGTGATTCGCGAAAGTAGCACCACCACTCGGTTACGGGTCGTTTTTAATGCGTCGAATCCGACGAGCAACGGCACGTCGCTGAATGACCACTTGCTAACCGGGCAAAAGTTGCAGACCGACTTAGCTGCAATTCTACTAAGGTGGATGCTACCTCGATACGTGTACTCCGCCGACATTACAAAAATGTATCGTCAAATTGAAATTGATCCTCGTGACGTCAACTATCAGCGAATACTATGGTTCGATCGCGAATCTCGAACCATCATCGCGTTCATTCTGTTAGTCCTAACGTACGGAACGGTTAACGCTCCTCATGATGCGCTTCGCGTTCTAGGACAACTAGTTCGGGACGAGGGAGGCTCATTTCCGTTGGCGGTTCCGGTGATTCGAAAGGGCCGGTATATAGACGACTTTCTCTTCGGAGCGGACGACATACTGCTACTTCGTCAGACGCGCGATCAAGTATGCGCGTTGCTGAGTCGGGGGAGGTTCGAATTACGTAAGTGGGCGAGCAACTCTCCGCAACTTCTGGCCGACATTGACGTCGAAAATCACGGATTAGCGTGTTCGAAAACCTTGCAAGCCGATGAGCAACTGAAAGTGCTCGGAATAAGCTGGAAGCCTGCCCTCGACGTGTTCCAATTCGACATTTCGCTCCCTCCTTCCATTCCAAAGACCAAAAGATCCATTCTATCCTTGGTAGCGAAAATCTTTGACCCGCTAGGGTGGGTCACGCCCGTGACAGTAAACGCAAAGATCTTTCTGCAACAACTCTGGCAGGCGAAAGTGGAATGGGACGAAGCCATCGCGGACGACCTTCTCGCGCAGTGGAAGACGACTTACGCATCCCTGGCGACGATCAATGGTCCTCACGTAGACCGTTGGGTACGATACGGTTCCGACACGGCGCACTGCGAACTTCACGGCTTCTGCGACGCCTCCACCACCGCGTTCGCGGCCGCAGTTTATATTCGCGTCACCTCCGTTACAGGCGAGACCACTTCCAGGCTGCTCATCGCCAAGTCAAAGGTCGCTCTGATCAAATCCTTAAGTATTCCTCGGTTGGAATTATCTGCTGCCGTTCTATTGGCTCGGCTGCTAGAATTCGTGCGATCATCGCTACAACTAACTACCATACCTTGCTTCAGCTGGACGGACGCTCTCGTCGTGCTAGCATGGGTGACTCAACACCCTTCAAAGTGGAAAACTTTCGTTGCTAATCGCGTCTCAGAGATACAATCCCGCGTCCCGTTCGCCACCTGGAGACACGTGCCGACCGAAGACAATCCGGCCGACTGCGCTTCTCGCGGCATTCTTGGATGCCATCTCGCGTCCCACCATTTGTGGTGGCAGGGGCCTTCGTGGCTGAGACGCCCTACGGTTGAGTGGCCCGCTCAACGCGAACCGTCGTCTCACAATACGACGCTCGAGCAGAATCCGCGCGTCACCACGCACATAGTAAAGCCGGTCGAAAAGTGAAATTTAGCGGCGCGATACTCGTCGTGGCCGAAATTAATTCGAGTCACCGCTTATATCCTTCGGTTCGCATCTTGAACTCGCCGTATCGAAACTAACGTCAACGAGGCGAGTCCGCTCGGTCTCTCCGCGGATGAGTGCCGATTGGCACGAGACTTCTGGCTCAAACGAATCCAAGAGGAAGAGTTTTCCGGGGAACGAGAAGCGCTCTTGAGCCAAAAGACGATCTCGTCGAGAAGTGCACTCATATCGCTCAATCCTTTTATTGGGGAAGACAAATTATTTCGCGTAGGCGGACGGTTAGCCCACGCTCCGCTACCACTAACCGCGAAACACCCCATCATACTCTCCTCTCACCTTCTAGTCCTTTTACTAATGCAGCACGCGCATATAAGGTCGCTTCACGCCGGCACGCAGCTCACACTCGCTACATTACGCCGGGACGTGTGGATTTTGCGCTCGCGAAATATAGTAAAGGACGTAAATCACCGATGCGTAACATGCGCCCGCAAAAAGGCGGCAATTCTCACTCCGATAATGGGACAGCTGCCTCACGTGAGAGTCTCCCCTTCCGCGCGCGCGTTTCAGCATTGCGGTCTGGATTACGCGGGCCCAATGCGTGTGCGCCCGATGTCCGGGCGTGGAGTCTCATCTCATAAAGCGTATATCGCAATCTTCATTTGCATGGCCACGCGCGCCGTGCACCTCGAGATAGTGGACGGCTACTCGACTCCCGCGTTCTTAGGAGCATATTCACGGTTCTGCGCCCGACGAGGCCTCCCCGCGTCGATCTACTCCGACAACGGAACAACGTTCATCGGCGCGGACCGCGAAATTCAAGAAGCGTTTCGCGCGGCCCTACGCGATCCGAACTTCTTAAATCGAACCGCCTCCGATCAAGTTACGTGGCACTTCATTTCTCCAGCAGCCCCGCATTTCGGCGGGCTATGGGAAGCCGGAGTTCGAAGCGTAAAGCACCACCTTCGAAGAGTAGTGGGGGCTCACACTCTCACGTTCGAGGAATTCGCGACACTCCTGTGCAACATAGAAGCCTGTCTAAACTCCAGGCCGCTCGCCCCGCTCACCGATTCCGCTGACGAATATGAGGCGCTCACTCCCGGTCACTTCTTGATAGGCGCCGCGTTAACCGCGAGCCCCGAAGCCTCCGTGCTTCATCTTAATGAAAATCGACTCTTGCGTTGGCAAGTGGTCCGTCAGACGACAAAACGGTTCTGGAAGCTGTGGCAAACCGACTACGTCAACACGCTGCAGCAAAGAGCCAAATGGCGAAAATCCGGAAAGGAGTAAATCCGAATAGGACAACTCGTACTCCTTCAAAACCCGTTACTTCCACCGTGCAGTGGGAGTTAGGCCGCATAATCCAATGTCACGCGGGCTCCGATAACGTCGTACGAGTCGTAACAGTAAAGACCGCAACGTCCGAATTCAAGCGGCCCGTTGTAAAAATCTGCGTGTTACCAATCGATATCGAAAACGCCGAAACGCCGGCGGAACTTCGTACACCGTGCCCTATGCACTTATTCGAATTGCCCAAACTTAGCGACCGCCTCGAGCAACGCGTTAGTTCAGCCATGCGATTTCGAAACGATGGTTTCGAGGCGGGCGGTATGTTGGGGATTCCCCCAATTTATTAATGTAAAAATTGTATCCGTCCGTTATATGTACTGCGATATACTTTTCGTCTGCTTCTCACGCAAAATTATCGATGAGTTCGGAACCGCCGGAAGAAACCAATCCGCGCCGAAGGCGAGCGCGCGTCAGCATCCCCACGCGGCTCGCCCGACAGCCG